TATGTTCAATCAGTTTCTCTTTTTTGTTTGTAACTTGAATTGTTTTTAAGTTATACTATTTTTTTAAGTGATAAGTGGTTGTAAACATTTTATATGAGCTGAATTGAAACAAATTAAATTGAGCATTACTAAAAAAAAAAAAATTATGCTTAAATTCAGCACATATAAATTGTTTGCCAAAAAAAAAAAATTGTTATATTATGTTCAATGAACCTTTTTTTAGTGTGTCAAACACACCAGAGAAATGAAATTGGAGAGGTGTTTATTAGAAATCAACGATTGAGAGGATCCTCTGTAAACTCCTGTGCTGGATTTTACTGATCTAGTCAAGGTGGGCAGGAAATACGCTGAGGTGTTTATGAGGGCTGGGTCGAAGTTATGAGAGCGCTCGTTACTTTCAGATCATTTGCAGACGATTAGCCAGACGCTAGTCTATAGCGTGATTCTGGTGCTCCAGTGTGAGTTAACCCCTAAAATAAAGTTTGTCATTATTAATTGTTTTAAACCTGGAGTTTCTTCTGTCGAACACAAAAGAAGCTACTTTGAAAAATGTTGAAAACCTGTAACCATTGACTTCCATAGTATTTTTTTAGTTATTCAATGGTTACAGGTTTTTAGCCTTCTTCAAAATTATCTGCTTTTGTGTTAAACAGAAAAAGAAATGCATACAGCATACTTGAGGGAAAGTAAATTGTGAGCAAATTTTCATTTTTAGGGTGAACTACCCCTTTACACTGAGAGTATAGTGTCAGCATTCGCAATGACAGATGAGATACTAAAATGCAATATTACACATTTTATTATATGTATTTTTAAATAAATTTAATAGATAGATCATAACTACTTGTTTCTTCTGTTAAACAAAAAAGAAGATACTTTAAAAAATGTTCAAAACTTGTTACCATTGACTTCCATAGTTGGAAAAACAAATAATATGGAAGTCAATGGTTACATGTTTTCAGCATTCTTTAAAATAGCTTTCTTTCTTGCTAAACAGACAAAAAAAAAGACCCCAAACAAATAAAGGTTTATAGAGTAGTAAGTACATTTTCTTTTAATGATGAACTATCACTTTAAACTGAGCGTCTCGTAATGACAATTCAAATGAGATACTAAAATACGAGATACACTGTTTATCTGTGTGTTTTTTCAAATATATTGAATAGAGAGATCATCATTACTTAATTTTTAAACATATAGGAGTTTCTTCTGTTGAACACAAAAGAAGATACTTTAAAAAATGCTGAAAACCTGTAACATATAGTGTCAATAATGACAACTGAGATATTAAAACACGAGATTGAATAGATAGATCATCATTCCTTTCTTCGTTTCTTTCTTCTGTTGAGCACAAAAGAAGATACTTTGAAAAATGGTAACCATTCACTTCCATAGTAGGAAAAACAAACACTATGGAAGTCAATGGTTACAGGTTTTTAACTCTCTTAGAAATAGCTTATTTTCTTGTAAAATAGACCAAAAACAAACACATAAAGGTTTGGAGAGGGGTGAACTATCCCTTTAAACTAAGCGTATAGCATCAGCAATGACAAAAAAGATACTAAAACACACGATTACACTGTTTATCTGTGTTTTTTATTGAATAGATAAATCATCATTACTTTCTCTGTTTCTTTCTTCTGTTGAACACAAAAGAAGATACTTTGAAAAATGCTGAAAAGCTGTAACCATTGACTCCCATAGTAGGGAAACCAAACGGTTTTCAACTTTTATCAAAATAGCTTCTTTTCTTTTAAAAAAGACAAAAAAGAAACACATAAAAGTTTGGAGAGTAAAAATAGTGAGTACATTTTCATTTTAGGGTGAACTATTCCTTTAAACTGAACTTATAATGTCAACAATGACAAATAAGATACTAAAAAACATAAGATTACACTGTTTATATGTGTTTTTTTATTATATAAACTAAATACTGTAGATCATTACTTGTTTCATTTTTCTGTTGAATACAAAAGAAGATACTTTGAAAAATGCTGAAAACCTGTAACCATTCACTTCCACAGTAGGAAAAACAAATACTATGGAAGTCAATGGTTACAGGTTTTCAGCATTCTTCAAAATAACACATGAAGGTTTATAGAGTAGTTAGTACATTTTCATTTTATGATGAACTATCACTTTAAACTGAGCGTCTCGTAATGACAATTCAAATGAGATACTAAAACGCGAGATACACTGTTTATCTGTGTGTGTTTTTTTAAATAGATTGAATAGAGAGATCATCATTACTTAATTTAAACATGTTTCTTTCTTCTGTTGGAAACAAAAGAAGTTACTTTGAAAAATGCTGAAAACCTGTGACCATTGACTTCCATAGTAGGAAAATACTATGAAGGTCAATGGTCACAGGTTTTCAACTTTTTTAAAAATGGCTTCTTTTCTTTTAAAAAAGACAAAAAAGAAACACATAAAAGTTTGGAGAGTAAAAATAGTGAGTACATTTTCATTTTAGGGTGAACTATTCCTTTAAACTGAACTTATAATGTCAACAATAACAAATAAGATACTAAAAAGCATAAGATTACACTGTTTATATGTGTTCCTATTATTATATAAGTTAAATAGATCATTACTTGTTTTCTTTTTCTGTTGAACACAAAAGAAGATACTTTGAAAAATGCTGAAAACCTGTAACCATTCACTTCCACAGTAGGAAAAACAAACACTATGGAAGTCAATGGTTACAGGTTTTTAACTTTCTTCAAAATAGCTTGTTTTCTTGTAAAATAGACTAAAAACAAACACGTAAAGGTTTGGAGAGTATAAATGGTAAGTAAATATTCATATTAGGGTGAACTATCCCTTTAAACTAAGCGTATAGCGTCAGCAATGACAAATGAGATACTAAAACACAAGATTACACTGTTTATCTGTGTTTTTTAAATAGACTGAATAGTTGTCTTGGCCTTGGCAGCTTTTCCTTGAGCGAGTGAGGTGTGTCATATTCATCATTTGGAGGTCATGGCTTTTAAATTCTCCAAAGAACAGCATATGGATGATTTTTTGCCAGCTATAGCAGTGATATGACACTTGAGCTGTAGATTGCATCAGTGGAGTTAGGCAACAGTTTTCATTAAGGGCTGAAGACATTGCTCAACAGATAGTGGACATGATGTGAATGCAGTTTTCTTTGTGAAACTGTTCTCTTTGTCAATTTCAGCTTCTCTGTGTTTAACAAACCCCCTAACAGTAAGTCATATTAACAAATGGGAAGTTCCTGTTACTATCCAAGATGAAATTGTGCCTATATAAATGAGCAAACTCTCTTCTGGGTCAGATGACAGCTTGGTGATTGAATGAAAATCTCATTGGTGGAGCTTCCCTTTAGTCTTAGGGGTAAAAGGGAGGGGTGTCCAGGTTTTTTTAAGCAACGGTGGTGGCACAACTGTGTTTAAATAATTCAAACCATCGTGGGAAACCTACGAATCAGAAGCTGAGTGATGAATCTTGAAGAGAATAGAAGATTGTCATACATGTTCACATTGTTTTTAACGATAAATAGCGAGAAGACGGGAAGATGAGACTTTTAAAAGAGATTATCAGATGTTTATCTTCATTTTCAGACTACATGACAACAATTTTTTATGATCAGAAGAGTTAAGAAACCAATATTTGGAGGAATGACCGTGATTTTTCAGTCACCGGAGATAAACATTTTTTGTTAAATCATTTATTTTCCCTAAATACGCCTTATTTATCAGGGGTCGCCACGGAGGAATAAACCGCCAACTATTCTGTCATATGTTTTACGCAGCGGTTGCCCTTCCAGCTGCATCCTAGTATTGGGAATTTAAATGTTTGTTATTTTAACCAATTGTAATTTTATGAAAAAGGGAAAATGTTCCATCATCAATAATAAATCATTAATCAGCGAATACACATTACATTACATTAATTATATATTAAATAATACATATAAATATAAACATTTTACTCAAACTCATACTTAATAAATCCAGTAAATCCAGAGAGATTGAGGATTGAAGGATTACACAGCATTTTGGTGTCTGCATTAAACTGTGTGTTTTTAGAAAGTATGGTAAGCGCAAGTAAAATATCCATTTTAATGTTTCAGTGATGTTTGTGTGAAAAAAATATTATTATTAATATTAATATTATTATATATTTATTGTCCAAAAATAAAATAAAAAAATATATAAAAAATTTAATAATTGCTATCCAGTTTCACAGATTGCAATATAATATAATATAATATAATATAATATAATATAATATAATATAATATAATATAATGTAATGTAATGTAATGTAATGTAATATAATATAATATAATGTAATGTAATGTAATATAATATAATATAATGTAATATAATATAATATAATATAATATAATATAATATAATATAATATAATATAATATAATACAATATAATAATATGACATAATATAATATAATATAATATAATAAAACAATAATAATATGACATAATATAATATGATATAATATAATGTAGTATATTATAATGTAGTATAATATAATATAATATAATATAATATAATATAATATAATATAATATAATATAATATAATATAATATAATAATATAATATAATTTAATACAAATACTAAATGTTAAAATATTAAGTACTTTTTGTTGACACTAGTGTGAATGGTATATTATATTTGTTTTGTAAAAATATAAACGCACAATTTATACATATTTTCATAAAAAATAATCAGCGAAATTTCCAGAAATACATTATTCACCAAATTTGTTTTGCTGTTGAGTGAGCGCTGATCTCACATCTGATTAGACGCTTTAAGTGAGCCTCGGCGGCGCGCGCGTCGCGTCATCAGTCGCGTCCACGGAGAGACATCAGCCTGGAGCGTAATTGAATTGTAGTGAATCAGCGAGTAAAACACCGCCCCTTTACGCGGAGATCAGCCTCTTCCGCGCGCGCAGAACCGCCCTGACCGGGGTAACTAACAGAGGGAGGGAATGAAAGAGTGATTGAGATACAACGGAGAAAGAGAGAGGGAGGAAAAGAGACACTTCAAGACTTCAGACAGCGGATCTTGTTGAGGGAAAACCTGTGTCATTTCTAAGAAACTCTTGGCGTCTATTCTTTGAGGACACGTTTGGGACTTTAAAAAAACCATACAAACAGACTCTGTACGTTTGAATGCGTGACCATGACGGCAGCTGTCGATATTAAGCCGTTAACTATAATAAAATCCGAAAAAGTAGACGGTAAGTCATCGTTTTCTCATTGTTTTGATTTCAGATTATTGCTCAACGCGTCTTCGTCAGCTGTTCAGTCAGCTATGAGTAACTTTTACGCGCGCTGTGGTTTCCCCGTGCGTTAAATTGCGTGGAAATCGAGATGCTTACATGATTTGAACGTTTCCGAAATTGCTTGCAACATGAGCTTTTTTTGATCAGAGAAGTGATGGACAGGTATAACAGCCTGCACGCGGCGCTCCAGATGTGCCAGCCACCGGTTTACTGCTGTCCAAATGATCTTTATAATGCACTATACTAACACAACCCAGTTAATCCCAGATGATTTGGCCCAGTTATAAGTGATTGCATGTTGAGATTAGTCCTATTAAATTCAAACATGTTCAATCACTGTGGAAAAAAATTAGCATATAATTAAAAGTTGCATATAATATACTATATAATAGGAAAAGCTAGTGACAGCTATAGTTAGTGTATCATCTTTGTTTTAACTATGCAAATCAATCAGTTACTAATTCCCCTGCTGGCCTCAGATGTGACCACTGACATGTTGCATGTATTGTGGTCATGAGACAGCTATTATAGCTCATTTGCAGATTCTTGAAATGATATGCAAATCAAATATGCTTGATGTACTGTGATATGTTTTGCATGCTTCCTTTTCAGATTTAACCCTTTAAGGTGCACTCTTTGAAAGTAATTGTGTACTGTATTGAATAATACACTCACAGCTCTGATAATTAGTAGTAAGCAATTGAAATAATAACAATAACCTATTGATAAAAAGTCAACCTGGGGGTTGCAATGCCTGTTAAAGGGTTATAGAGGTTTGGTCATGTAGAAAATGTTCATATAAATAAAGTAAAGGGGTGAAGTATTTGGATTTAGACGTATTATATTGTCTTTTCAGTCATTTGAGCAGCTATTTTGCGATTATACACAAAGCTGGACTTTATTATTTAGCTGTGCTTCTAATATAAATGTTAATTTAGCGAGTATTTGTCCATGAAGAGTGTGACAACAGACTGCCACACATGGCCTCTCATGACATGATGCACTTTATTGCTTCACACAGTCGAGTTTCTTTTCATGCGTGACCAGCAGGCTTGAATTTTAACTACAAGATGGTTATTTTTGTTTCAAGCAGACTTTCAGATCATTGCGTCATCTAATGTTCTTGTGCATTTAGTGTAAGTACATTAGTTGGTCATTGGCTGAGCTCTGGGCTTTCTTTCCTTGTGTGCAGATATTATGGGCATCTGTGTTATGCAATTAATGCATCTTTTCTTTCTTTCTTTCTTTCTTTCTTTCTTTCTTTCTTTCTTTCTTTCTTTCTTTCTTTCTTTCTTTCTTTCTTTCTACACACTACACGATTAACTTAACTGATTTCACAAATTTAAGTGGACTTAACATAAAACACTTAAGTTGTCCCCAAAATAACTCAAGAATTGTGTTAATTCAGCTCATTTTTAATATATTAGCTAAGTTCTTTCTTTCTTTTTCTTTCTTTCTTTCTTTCTTTCTTTCTTTCTTTCTTTCTTTCTTTCTTTCTTTCTTTCTTTCTTTCTTTCTTTCTTTATTTCTTTCTTTCTTTCACTGTAAAATGCACTAAACATGATATATGCAAAATTGTTGCAAAAATTGTTGTTGAATTTAAACAAACTAATTCAATTTAATAATGTTCAACCTAATTTGTTTGTTTAAATTCAGCCCAAATAAATTGTTTATGACCACTTAACTTAAATTATTTTAGTAAATCCAAGTAATCATCTTTGAATCATTTCTTTCACTGTAAAAATGCTGGTTCCACACAACTCCTTCATGTCATCGCAACACAAATCGATTAAGTTAACTTAACTATTTTCACAAATTTAAGTGGATTTAACATAAAACACTTAAGTTGTCCCCAAAATAACTCAAGAATTGTGTTAATTCAGCTCATTTTTAATATATTAGCTAAAATCTTTCTTTCTTTCTTTCTTTCTTTCTTTCTTTCTTTCTTTCTTTCTTTCTTTCACTGTAAAAATGCACAAAAATGATGTATGCAAAAATGTTGCAAAAAATTTAAATCTGTTGACTTTAAACAAACTAATTAAATTTAGTAATGTTCAACTTAATTTGTTTGTTTAAATTCAGCCCAAATAAATTGTAAAACCACTTAACTTATTTTTTTTTAGTAAATCCAAGTAATCATCTTTGAATCACTGGTTCCAACACAAATCGATTAAGTTAACTTAACTGTTTTTCACAAATTTAAGTGGACTTAACATAAAACAATCAAGTTGTCCCCAAAAAACTCTAGAATTGTGTTGATTCAGCTCATTTTTAATATATTAGCCAAGATCTTTCTTTCTTTCTTTCTTTCTTTATTTCTTTCTTTCTTTCTTTCTTTCTTTCTTTCTTTCTTTCTTTCTTTCTTTCTTTGTAAAAATGCTGGTTCCACACAACTCCTTCATGTCATCCCAACACAAATCGATTAAGTTAACTTAACTGTTTTCACAAATTTAAGTGGACTTAACATAAAACAATTAAGCTGTCCCCAAAATAACTCAAGAATTTTGTTGATTCAGCTCATTTTTAATATATTAGCCAACATCTTGTTCTTTCTTTGTTTCATTGTTTCTTTCTTTTTTCTTTCTTTCTTTTGCACTGAAGTGATGCAAACTATTTATGTGTTGAATTTAAACAAACTAATTCAATGTAGTAAATCCAAGTAATCATCTTTGAATCACTGGTCCCACACAACTCCTTCATGTCATCGCAACACAAATCGATTAAGTTAACCATTTTTCACAAATTTAAGTGGACTCAACATAAAACAATTAAGCTGTCCCCAAAATAACTCAAGAATTGTGTAAATTCAGCTCATTTTTAAATATATTAGCTGAGATCTTTTCATTGAGTGTTCTTTCTTTCTTTTGCTTTCCTTGTTTCTTTGGATGAATTGTGCTTGTGCAATCTCACGCATGTATAGCATGGCAGGGAAATTCCCATATGGCTAAACAGTGGTCACTGTCAAGTGAATGAAGTTTGTTATGATGCTGCTTCACTGTCCATTCATACCGCATCCATAAACCCAGCCCGGCTTAGGAGGGGCTGCATGCTTGACCAGGGCGAAGGGAGTGAAGATGCCATGCTGGTTATGCAGTCAGCAGTATCACACTCCCACTTGCACTCCTGAGGACTGGAATAAAATAGCGAGTATGCAAAGGGGATGTTCGCACATGCCTTGGCCCGGTGTACTCTTTTAGAATATGACCCTCTTCTTAGTCCCGGAAGGGCAGGGTGAGTTCAGTGGCCGCTAGTTTCCCCATGATAAAATGCTGACTGGCTTCAACCACAGCTGGTGGCTGTACAGACTCCGTAGCTCCTTCACCACCAGCTGGTAATGCATGATGGAAAAAAGGCACTCACCTTTATAAGCATGTCAGAACGAAAGCTAAAACATGAGCGCGATGTGCAAGATGCGATATGAATCATTACCACACTTGCACGCATGCACACAGGCCCTGTTCTCTTTTCACACATAGTCGCAGAGTTCACATTTACCAATGCGCTGGCACATGAACATGCACAGACATTTTCCAACACACATGCACAAGCGTTCTCCACATTGAAAGTGCTGATACTTGCAGCGGGGGCTGCCAAAATATCGTGCTATCTTGCAAAACAATTTCTCAAGACAAGCTCCCTCGAGTTCAGTCATCCGTGAGTGTTCAGGCCAGGGTGAACACAGCTCACTGGCAAACACTGTAAAATCCACGTAAGACAGGTTTACTGCTTGTCTGCTACTTGAGTGTAATGGAGGAAGGGATATGCGCACCTTGTGGGTGGGGCTGCACAGTTAATCTCGATCTCGATTCGACCCTAAACACGATCTTAATTGCAATTGAGCCAATTTTATTTTCAAGGTCCGGAGGGAAGTGTAAAGACGGTCCAAAAAAGTCTTCACATTGTTTTATATACAATGTTCAGCAACATGGACACCTTTAAATGGTGTTAAAAGTGTCACGTATTGTATTTATAAGGTACAATTATAAGGTATAATGGTGTATTCGTGGCCATGATAGAGCTGACGCACTTTTTGTTTACTACAGAGAGGACGCACACGTGCCTGCCAATAATGTCTACTTTTGGCCCCGTTTACACTAATACATTTTAGTTTTGAAAATGCATAAGTTTTGCTATGGTTGGATCGTCATCCATCCACACTACGCCAGAGTTTATGTGCATTGAAAACGATTTTTGGAAACGCTGAAGAGGCTGTTTTCGTTTTAAAAAGCTGCTGCTCTTTGTTAGTGTGGATGGGGGAAATAGAAACTTCTGAAAGCAGAGACGGTGCTCCGCATTCTACTATCTGATTAGGGCTTTTTCCTTAATATTAAGTAGCCTACACACAGTCTTGCATCCTCTGCTTGTAAGTTCAGACTTCGCAAGTTTGATATGGAAAACTCCTGAGTACACGTCGGGTAAATCTTCAAAGGGATCAGTGTACTTTATAACTTCATTCACCCTGACTTAGGGCTGGGCGATTTTTCAGAATTTTTCGATTAATTCGAATTTACGTTTTAAGACGATTTAATTTTGAATCAAATCGAGAAATCGCGATTATAAAAAAAATATATATTTAATACATTATAATGGCACCAATGTGCTTAGGTTCACCCTCTGTATGAAGCAGGAACAAGTGTGCCGCAATCCTGCGTTTGAGTGAAGGTCTCGGCCGTTAGATCGCCCCCTGGGGGCTGGCTGCAGTACAAGTCATAAAGCCCGCCTCCTCCGTGTTAATGAAGGAGACTTGAGCCCAAATAAAAAAAAAATTGTTACACTTGCAATAAAATGTCCCGAAAGATGGTTCTGGTGGATTAAGGCACTGATTATTGTGCTGAAATAGGTGCAGATCTCAAAGCAGCACGTCTGAGCTTCGGCAGGAGACTGAAGTGTTACTATTCGATTTCTGTGTTATTTTACCATGACAAAATGAGTTCAGCAGTAAACTACAGTTTCTG